AATCTCTTGCAAGTAAGATTAAAATGCCTTAAAATAATTTTGTAAGTTAAGTTTAGTAATATTTTCACTTTTTCTGAAACTTTTTTGTATCACTAATTTAATAGGATTGAATAATTCAATTGTTTTCAAACCTAATATACCTAGTTTAAGATCCCTCTTTTCATTGTTAAAATATTTTCTATTATTAGATAAGAATCTCACATAAGTCATAGTTAGCAATTTCCCTATGCTTTTGAAAGATGTTCAATAACTAAAAAATACAGCTTCGCGTAATTTTTGTGAAATACCTACCTAGTTTTTTTATAAATCCGTTGTTAATGATTTTGAAACATGTCGATGTCACGTTTTCGATGCCAAATAAAAGGACACGATAACATCGAAATAAACAAATGTTATTCAATGGCACATAACCCGTACGTAGAAAAAATGGAGGAAAGGAATAAAATAATGACGAAATAAAATATAATCGTACGAATATTATAATAACTTGTAATAAAACCTCAGAGTCGGGCTCATTAGAATACGTTCACGGAGTCCATTCCCGATATTGAATATTTTCCCTTAATATACGTCGTTAAATTTAATATTAAGGAAGGGTATCTTCGGGGAATGATTCATCTGCCTGGAACGGTAGTTACGATAAAATTTATTTTGGGTTCACGCCTAACGTGTTATGTAAATAGTTGATGGCAGTCGTTAGGAATGTTTACTATTTTTGGGTTGGTATCATGAGCACAATTATCTAAAGCCCTGTGGAGGTTTAGTACTGGATAACTAAAAGGCTGGGTTGCACCATGTTTAACAAACGTCAAAAATCTATCAAACAACATATAAAAAGCACCGGTTATAGTTACCGTTAAATTAAGTAAGTGCAACTCAGCTTAAGTATTCATGTTTCCGTTAATGTTAATAATACAAAAACTTAGGCTGGGTTGCACCACCTAACTTTTACGGTAACTGTAACGATAAACCGGTGCTTTTTGTATGGATTTTGACAGATTTTTGACGTTTGCAAAAGTTGAAGTAAGAAGGTGCAACCCAGCCTTAGTTGCGAAAATTAAAATTCTACTATCTATAATCTTATTTAGTCAAGTCAATTAACGCTAATATTGTAAAAAAAATTAATAGCCTTGCCTATAAAAAAGTTTCTGTAAGTAAATCCTTATTAAGTGTATGTGTAGGACGTTCTTACCTACTTCAGAACTCCGCTACAAGTACTACTAACTACCTACTTGTATCATACTATACAGATATAGATAAAAATGAATAGAACTCTCACAATTGCCATTATTATATGTGGAGCACGGCGATAGATTTTTTATTGCCATAGGCAATCAATACGGCCATTGTCCGGTTGTCCTCACATTTTAGGGTTCCGTACACCTTTTGAAAAAAGGAACCCTTAAGATTAAGTGCTTGTGTGTTTAAGGCAGACTTACCTACTATTACATGTTATCAATTTTAATCCAATACTTTGATCATGTTTCTTGTTAAGATTCAATTTTATTTTAATCTCCACCAATATTACAAAGAGGAAAGATTCGATTGTTTATTTGTATTGAAACAATTCTTTCTTTGTACTGGACCGATTTAAAAAATCTTTTACCTTTGGGTTTCTACATTATCGCTGATGAACATAGGCTATAAAATATTTTCAAAAAAGGAGGTATGAAGTTCGCCGGGTCAGCTGTGTTTACATTATCTGACCCGGCGAACTTATAATAATAATCTGTTAAATATCTTGCCACCTGTAGCTACACTCATACCTAGGATGCGATAAATGACTATGAATATGAAGCTTACTAAAAGCCCTTATTACCAGGGATGTTATGGATATCCGTAACCGTAACCGAAACCGATTCAAAAGTTTCGGATAGTTTCGGATGTAGACAGTTTAAATTATTTTTTGTATCGCATTATATGTAAAGGCATAACAGCCTGATTTACCTTTATAATGCCATCTACTTAGTATACATTTTTATTTTTTTATTACTTTTTATTCGATGTTAAGTGTGCAGCCATAAATGAACCGTGTTGGACAACTATTTCAAATTACATTCTGAAGCACAAATATTCGTAACCGTATCCGAACTTTCGGATATCCGAAATAAAAAAATATCCGTAACCGAAACCGGTATAATATTATTCCTAAATCCGTAACCATATCCATAACCGAAACTACATATCCATAACATCCCTACTTCATACCCTGACAGGTAGAGATGCCCTAACAGGTGCATCACGCAGCTTACAGAGATTAGAGGTACAAGGCTCTAAGCGGCAACCACATTCAATTATGCTAAGCAGGCTGTGGCAATAAGCCGGTTATCCAGAAACAAAAGGCAATCTAAGTGACTGGTCTGCCGTGATACGAGCCATATTATGTAAGCATAATTACATACTCTGTAGGTAGAGGTAGGTATATCATTACTTTTAGAAAAGACTGAAACCTCTAAAAGAACTCAACCAATTATTTTGCTTCACTAACCAAAGGAAACCCTACTAATCTTAAACCAGTAAATGCGAAAATAACTCTGTCTATGTGTCACGCTTTCACGCCTAAACCACTGAATTGATTTTGATGAAATTTGGCATTGAGATATTTTGAGTCACGGGAAAGAACATAGGATAGTTTATCCCAGTTTTGAAACATAGACGCGCGCAATAAAGGATTTCTGTGGCAGACAAAATTTCACGTGGGTGAAGCCGTGGAAAAATCGAGCAAAATATTAATTATTATTCATGTAACTGAGGACTCATTCTCAATAACTAACATATTTCTTCTACAAAGCTTTCGTGAGCAGAGCGATGAACTTTGATGACCCAGAGGAGAGTTCTATTTCCAGGTGAATCACACATAGTGTAAAATTACTTTGTGTTCATAACTTATTTAAGATTGGTTTACGACGTAAACGTAAACTTTGTGTCAACTTTTTCGTCTGAAAAAGTACTTTTGCGCTCAGTTTTATTTAAACCTGCAATTATAAGAAAAATACCACTAATATTCGCCCTTACATTTGAAATTAAATCTTTCAACGCGTCATTTAAATTAAAAAAAATGAATTTTCTTTTTCAATTATTAATGTTTACGTTAAAAGAAAATTTTGTTCAATAAAATAAGTTAATTATACTTCGGGTCTCAACCGAAGACGATTAATAATTACTTGCAGCATTACATGAGATGTTGCTATCTTCGTCACACCTTTAGAGTTATAATGTAANGAGAAACTCATTTATATAGCTTTATTAACTATCCCTTGTTCTGTGAATGTGGGTTTCATAATGGGGAAGTTATTATTTCAAAAGTTATGAAGCAAAAACGAGTAAATTCTGGAAACCGGACACTCCATTTTAGGCCAAATTTCGCCCGTTTTTGAACCTTCGGATTTTTTCAAGGCGTGATGTAAAACCTGGCGGTCTTCTAAATATGCTCTCCATCAAGTCAAGAGTCTTATAAATACGTGTGATTTTTTTCAAGTCCGTACTTCAATTTTAAAGGTACTTTTTTCGCCCCAGTAGGTCGATCGGTCGTCCCCGTAGAAATGCCCATAAGTAAACCATACGAGTTCCTATTCATTCAACTTTTTGTAAATCCTAATTAGAGCAACAACCACGAGCTGTCAAACGAAACCAATTTTGAAATTTGAAATTTAAGAGCGCTTTCCCTTCAAGTGGCATTACAAAATTCCATCCTGTATATCGATGTCAATTTAAAAATCATTTTATCCTAATACGAGTATGTGCTTTCCGCCCGCGGCTTCGCCCGCGTGAAATTTTGTCTATCACTGCAAAACTCTATCGCGCGCGTTCTTGTTTCAAAAACAGGGATAAAAACTATCCTATGTCCTTTCCCGGGACTCAAACTATCTCTATGCCAAATTTCATCAAATTCGGTTCAGTGGTTTAGGCGTGAAAGCAAGACAGACAGACAGACAGAGTTACTTTCACATTTATAATATTAGTAGGTATAGACTAAAAGATAATATAGAAGTATAGATTGTTATAAATGCGAAATTACTCTGTACGTGTGTTCTTTTCATACATAAACTACTAAACCAATCTAGATGAATGAAAAACCAGGAGAAAGACATAGGAGGATAGTTGTTTTAATCCCGGGTTTTAAAGGGGAAACACACTAGCTATTATAGTTTTACATATTATCTGTGGTTTTACTGTGACAGATCGAAATTCACGGAGGTGAAACCGCGCGCAATAGCTAGTATTTTACAGTTCTACATAATAACTACCTACTGTTCAAAATATTATCCTTAGTAGGCCGGTTGTCTCGGTTCCCAGTGCCAGAGGCCGTATGTTCGACTCCCGCACAGTACAATCATTTTTTTTATCCACAAATTATATTTATTTGCTTGAACATTTTATTTGTATCAATCTGGGCGTCTTACTAAAATAACACGGTATTAGTGATTCCTAGTCTACCTAAGTTTATTTCTTTGTGTAATAGTGCTCCCAGTACAAGCTTTGTTTAATTTGGGTCTAGATGGCGAGGAGTGAAACTGGCCAAGGATATTTACTATTAACATTATTCACCTAGGTACAAAGATTTGTCATTTTAACTTTGTTTGAGTTGCTTATCTCTAAATGTTTTCAGAATAGTATGTACCTACCTACTATGTTTAAAACGAAGTGTAGGTATTTTCAAGCCTAACTACCTGTGTACAATGTTGAGTAAATCCAGGTATTATACTTCGGGTCTCAACCGAAGACGATTAATAATTACTTGCAGCATTACATGAGATGATGCTATCTTCGTCACACCTTTAGAGTTATAATGTAAGAAAGTATTTTCTGTCCTACTCCCACCTTGCACCGACTGGCAGCCCCGCGTCACCTGATTTCATTACGTGTTTTTGGGTTATCGGAATCACACCTCGCATTCGGGAAATAATTATATTTTGAATAAATATGGGAAAACGAAAGCGTTCTAGATCTAGGGATAGTGATTATGATAGNATTATACTTCGGGTCTCAACCGAAGACGATTAATAATTACTTGCAGCATTACATGAGATGATGCTATCTTCGTCACACCTTTAGAGTTATAATGTAAGAAAGCATTTTCTGTCCTACTCCCACCTTGCACCGACTGGCAGCCCCGCGTCACCTGATTTCATTACGTGTTTTTGTGTTATCGGAATCACACCTCGCATTCGGGAAATAATTATATTCTGAATAATTATGGGAAAACGAAAGCGTTCTAGGTCTAGGGATAGTGATTATGATAGTATTTTACGGAAAATCAAAAAGTTGGAGTCGAAATTACGAAAAAGACGGCGCTTATCATCATCAGCATCGGTGGAAGGAGAAAGTGATTCTTCGTACTATAAGAGATACGACACACAGGAATATGAAAATCATAGTTCATTACAAGGTAAATTACAATATAATTAGAATCTAAGTGTAACAAAATATAGAAATTGCACGGTTATGGAAAACGGAACTTCAACCTACCTACATAATATTTTTAATGGGAAAACATATTTATTAAGTATAATGTTATACCTACCTGTTCCGTACGAAATTATCTAAGTTTTAATATTGGAAAATAGTGCTTAGTTGTGTTATGGCATTTTATTTAGCCCACAATAATAGTATTGAGGCAATTTTTACTCCACGTATACCGTGTTGAGGATATAATACTCGTAACTCCACTTCAGTGTTGAGACAGCTCCACGTAATTCGTGTTGAGGACAAACAAACTCCACTTTAATAGTGTCGAGGCTACTCCGCTTTAATAAGCGTTGAGGCTACTCCGCTTTAATGAGCGTCGAGGCTACTCCACGTAAACCGTGTTGAGGATTAATTATACATACTCCACTTAATCTGTGTCGAGACACCTATATGTACTCCACGCAAAGCGTGTCGAGGGTATACTCCACTTTAAAAGTGTTGAGGTCTTTAACATATAGTTAAATGCTATATGCATTCTTCCATGCTAGTTATGGTTAAAAATAGAATACTTACGTTTATTATTGCTCCTTGACAGCGGAAAATTACGCAGATGATAACGCTGACATCTACGGCGACTGCCATCCCGAGTCAACAGAGCCACTTGCCGGACCATCTACGTCGCGAGCTGCTCCCATACCTGCGCCACCAACAGAACCCGAATCTGTGACACACACAGTACCTGTGTCTACGCAACAGGACCCGTCGAGTGTCTACGTAAATGACGCTCCGGCAACATCTATTTTGGATGAAAATACACCTTCATTAGACCCAGAGATTCTTCAACTGCTTGGCGAGGACCCCACCAGTCAGAAAAATCATGGAGAAAATCTACATAAGGATATCGCACCTAGATGGGCACATATATTAGCTAACGGGCTTTCTAAAGAGATCCAATTAGAACTAATAAAATGTTATTTACCGCCAGAAAACTGCCCAAATATGAGAGCCCCAAAACTCAATTTGGAAATCAAAGCAGCTCTGTTGGAAATGAACATTAAAAAAGATTTATACAGCCAAAGCAAGCAAAATCAACTTGCTAGTAGTCTCTCTGCTATAGGACGAGTTTTGAATTGGGCCCTGGCATCAAATAGTACTGTTCCTCAAGATATAATAAAGACATTGAGTGACGCCGGCAGACTCATATGCGACTATGAATTTAACGTCCTTCCGTTCGGCCTTTGTACTGCCCCATTTGTTTTTACAAAACTACTAAAACCCGTTCTAGAAAAGTTACGCACGTCAGGTTTTTTATCTGTAAATTATCTTGACGATTTTTTATGCCTAGGTAGTTCATATAACGAGTGCCTGTCAAATGTTAACACTACAAGATCCCTTCTAGAATCATTAGGATTCATTATAAACACAAATAAAAGTGTAATGATACCAAGTCAACTTTGCAAGTTTTTAGGATTTATGTTTGACACTAAAAACATGATAATTACCCTACCAGAGGAAAAGAAACAACGAATAAAAAGTCGAGCTACAGAGCTTATGTGTAAAACCAAATGTACTATAAGATTTTTTGCTGAATTTATCGGACTTTTGACCGCCGCATGCCCAGCTGTCAGTTACGGTTGGATGTACACTAAACTGTTTGAAAGAGAGAAGTTTTTGGCCCTAAATTATTCTGAAAATTACAGTAAACAAATGAAATTAAGAGAAAATGTAAAAAATGAATTTTTATGGTGGCGAGATAACATAATGACGTCTTTTGCTAACATCCGTAAAAATAACGAGTATTTACTCGAAATTTTTACTGATGCTTCAAATACAGGCTGGGGCGCTGCATGCAGTGGTCAAAGTGCCAACGGAAACTGGACAGAGACAGAACTTGTACTTCATATTAACGAACTTGAATTAAAAGCCGCATTTTATGGACTAAAAATCTTTACAACTGATTTACGGAATTGTAATATTTTACTACGAATAGACAACACCACTGCCATATCATACATAAATAGAATGGGTGGTGTTCAACATCCTCATTTGAATGATCTTGCACGAAAGATTTGGCAGTGGTGTGAGTCCCGAAATATTTTTGTGTTCGCATCATACGTTAGATCCTGTGATAATATAATTGCAGATTGCGAGTCTCGACGAATCAATATAGACACAGAGTGGGAAATCTCAGATAATGCCTATTTGCGAATTAGCACATCATTAGGAAAACCCGAATTTGACCTTTTCGCTAGCGCTCAAAACTATAAATGTAGTAGATATGCTTCATGGAAACTCGATCCATATTCTGAAGTTGTAGATGCATTCACATTTTGCTGGCGAAATATAAACTTTTATGCCTTTCCCCCATTCTGTTTAATTACTAGAGTCCTGGAAAAAATTTTGTCAGACAAAGCAACGGGGATAGTAGTGGTGCCTTACTGGCCATCACAACCTTGGTATCCATTGTGGTCCAAGCTTGTATTATCGGAAAAGTTGTTCTTTGGCCCTGATGAATTCCTATTATATTCTCCTTTCAGAACCTGCCATCCTCTTCACGCGAGCCTTATCCTGGTGGCAGCCAAATTATCAGGGAATCAATGATTAAACGCGGTGTACCTCAAGAATCCTTAAATATAATGATGGCTTCTCTTGCAAAAAACACATTGAATCAATACAATAGTTCCATAAAGTCCTGGTGGCATTTTTGTAAAGAGAATAACTTAGACGTTTACGAGGCTAATAGTTCAACAGTATTATCATTCCTTACCACAAAATTTGAAGAGCACTATACTAGCTACAGCAGTTTAAACACTCATAGATCAGCTTTGTCACTAATTTTAGGTACGGAGGTAACTGTCAATGATTGCATTAACCGTTTCCTTAAAGGTGTCTATAGACTTACTCCCCCAAATCCGAAATATAATTCAACATGGGACACAAACATAGTGTTGAATCATCTATCCAATATGTATCCATACGACAATATCTCACTAGCTGATTTGTCACATAAAACTTGCACACTTTTGGCTATTGCTTCCGCTCAAAGAATGCAAACTATCAGTTTAATCAAATTAAATAATATATCAAAACGAGACAATGCAATTGTTATTAAGATCACCGACTTAATAAAAACATCGAGGCCCGGTTCTTGTCAACCACTCATCAGATTGCCATATATCCGTGAAAATCCCAGTATTTGTCCCGCGTTGGCTGTTGAAACTTACATAGCAAACACCTCTTCCTTGAGACACATTCTTTCGGAGGAACATCTTTTTATTTCTGTGCGAAAACCTCACAAAAAAGTTGGTTCTCAAACATTAGCACATTGGGTGAAAAAGGTGTTGCTCGATAGTGGTATAGATATTTCTATATTTGGAGCACATAGTACTCGCTCGGCATCTACATCCGCCGCTCACAGATCTGGGGTTAGTCTGGAAGTGGTCCGCAAGGCTGCGGGTTGGAGTAACTCCTCTAATGTTTTTATTAAGTACTAGCTTTCCGCCCGCGGCTTCGCCCGCGTGGAATTTTGTCTGTCACAGAAAAACTTTATCGCGCGCGTCCCTGTTTCAAAAACCGGGATAAAAACTATCCTATGTTCTTTCCCGGGACTCAAACTATCTCTATGCCAAATTTCATCAAAATCGGTTGCGAGGTTTAAGCGGGAAAGCGTAACAGACAGACAGACAGACAGACAGACAGACAGACAGACAGACAGACAGAGTTACTTTCGCATTTATAATATTAGTTGGGACTATAGAAGAGAAGTAANGAATAATATATCAAAACAAGACAATGCCATTGTTATTAAGATCACCGACTTGATAAAAACATCGAGGCCCGGTTCTTGCCAACCACTCATCAGATTGCCATATATCCGTGAAAATCCCAGTATTTGTCCCGCGTTGGCTGTTGAAACTTACATAGCAAACACCTCTTCTTTGAGACAGATTCCTTCGGAGGAACATCTTTTTATTGCTGTGCGAAAACCTCACAAAAAAGTTGGTTCTCAAACATTAGCACATTGGGTGAAAAAGGTGTTGCTCGATAGTGGCATAGATATTTCTATATTTGGAGCACATAGTACTCGCTCGGCATCTACATCCGCCGCTCACAGATCCGGGGTTAGTCTGGAAGTGGTTCGCAAGGCAGCGGGTTGGAGTAATTCCTCTAATGTTTTTATTAAGTACTATCGAAGAGAAGTAATCGATACAAATGAAAATGATTTTGTTAATGCCATATTTGGTACATGATTTGTTAAATAAAACAAAAGGTTAATTGCATTTATTTTATTAACATCGTTAAGAGAACGATAAATGTAACATTATCTTTAAAATGATTTAANAGAAGTAATTGATACAAATGAAAATGATTTTGTTAATGCCATATTTGGTACATGATTTGTTAAATAAAACAAAAGGTTAATTGCATTTATTTTATTAACATCGTTAAGAGAACGATAAATGTAACATTATCTTTAAAATGATTTAAGAAGGTTGTTTAACTTATTTAGTAAATTAAGAAATTAAATAATTTCACGTCTTTTTCTCACATACATTTTTTATTTTTCTTATCTCTTACATTACTTTGCTCTAAACATCTGCAAGTAATTATTAATCGTCTTCGGTTGAGACCCGAAGTATAATTAAGAATCAAACGAACTCACCTGGTGAAGTTTGATTCCAATTATGCGAGGGTCTCAACCGAAGACGATTACATCCCTATCCCACCCAACCCAAACAGATAAACAAAAATAAAAAATATATTTTTAATAACACAAACTTTGAAATAATGAAATCAGGTGACGCGGGGCTGCCAGTCGGTGCAAGGTGGGAGTAGGACAGAAAATACTTTCTTACATTATAACTCTAAAGGTGTGACGAAGATAGCATCATCTCATGTAATGCTGCAAGTAATTATTAATCGTCTTTCGGTTGAGACCCTCGCATAATTGGAATCAAACTTCACCAGGTGAGTTCGTTTGATTCTTAATTATATCTGTGATAGAATAGAATGATAGACAGATCATTACTTGTATGAGGTGTATCTTGTAAGAATAAGGTAAGGCTCTTTTTATTCTATTTAGGTATTTAATTATTTGGTGCCTTATTGAGAGGGAAGTTATAATGAGGGAGAGGCATTACTTGTGTAATAAATAAAATGTTTAGATTATCTACAAAACCTTTATTGCCTGTTTTATTAAATATAACAGTCTACATTATATAGATGTACCTAACTTCAGACTTCTTTAGTGCTGGAACACTCTTTCGGTGATGTGGATGTCGTCGAAGTGTTGCGGGTACTCTGTTCCCTTGTGGTAGACGACAGCATCTATGAAGTACATGTTGGGTTGGATAAAGTGGTGGGATACAGGGCGGTCAAGCGGGTATCCGAAGGGCTTGTCATCCAGCATGAACGATTCCATAGGCTCCAATTCCTTAGGCATTTGGACACTTGGGTACACATATACGAAGAATTGCAGAGGGAATCCACTCTTAGTACCTCTAGGAAGCATAAGCCTCTTAGGCAGGTCATCGTAGCTCTCCATCATGTCAACAGGCAGTTTGTTCTCTGCCAACAACTCATAGATCTGGTGGATGGACAGAGAGTCGTCCTTAAAGTGGAAGAATTCCTCGGAGCTGCGCTCAATCACATTTTCTCCCTTGGTAAGCTGGTGGGTGAACCAGTCCAGTTGAACGAAGTTCATCCAGTTGTCCTCGAACTGGATAGGGTAGCCCTTGCTGTCGTATTTGGGACCAACGAAGATCTTAAAAGTGGCCTGCTCGTTAACGTCAGACTTAACGTTGATCTTAACCGTGAATGGTTGCCTGTTCAGACGTGGCTGCAGAACCACGAAAGATTTCTTTGGGGCAACAAGTTCACTGTCAGAGTAAATAATGCTGTTCGTGGCATTGAAGGGGTGGAAGTCGAAGAAGGTGAGCAGCTCACTGATTTCAACGTGGTTGATCTTGACACCGATGTAGTGAAGGTTGTCTTGAGAGTAGGGCTGCACGTACTGCTTGTATTGAAGTATGAAACCTACGATCTTGTTGTAGATCTGGTAGAAGGCAGGGTCACGCAGAGAAGTCTGGTAGAAGTCGAGCGCGGTCGGAATGAAGGAGTAGCTGAAACAAATAGTGATTATGTTATGTCAGGGCTTGACTAACGTATATTTGTAAAAGGTACAAGTAAAATATTATGTATAACCCCGTTTTACCCCCTTCATCTATCTTACGCAGTTTAGATTTTTTCATGCAAATGTTTTTTCCCGCTAACTCCCGTTCCCGGGAGAATCTTGCAATATCCTGTTGTAACTAAGCTTTTAGTTTACTAAGGTTCCTGCATGCCAAATTTCAAGCGTCTAACTTAAGCGGTTTAGATTTTTCATACAAAAGGATTCCCGTTCCCGTGGAAATTTCGGAAATTCCTTTCGCAGTGCACCTTTACTGTACCTAAGCTACGTCTCTTCCAAATTTTAAGTGCCTATGTTTAGCCGTTTAGGCTTAAGGCGCACACACACGACGAAATCTTAAAAAATGAAGTAACTTCTCCCGTTTTCCCAAAATGTCCCTTCACTACTCTGCTCCTAAGTATACTATTACATGCCTAGAAGTATGAAGAATAATTGTACCAAGTTTCGTTAAAATCCGTCGAGTATTTTTTGTTTCTATAAGGAACATACAGATGGACAGACAGACAAAAAATTATGTAAATATATTATAAAATCATTGTTTATCAGTTAAATAAAAATATTTTACCGCCCTGATCAATCATGTACAGAATTGACCTGTCTACATATTTATTTTAGGTATAGATTTAAAATGTTAATTTAATACACTTTCAATTAATCGTAAATAAAATACTCACTCGTCGTAAGCGTTGTAACTGTAAGGAGCAGCACCCAAGATACGGCGAGCAGCCATTTCGTAAGAGCGGTGGTAGTGGTTGTTTCCAACCTTTTCGTACAAGTCAGGGTTCGCTTGCCAGAAGTTTCCGACAAAGTTGATTGATTTGGAGTTGTAGAAGTCCACCTCATGGTTGTACTGAAAATAAAAATACAAACAGTCATTATTAGTCACACAACGTTACGTTATTAACTAAGAAGATAATGCTTTCAGTTTAGTTTTCAATACTCACAGCTTTGAACTGACCCTTCTCCAGGTAGGACAGGAAGATGTCTTCGTAGTTGCGGACAAAGCGCAGGTCGTCAAGGTTCTGCTCAGTCTGCATGTAGTAGTTGTTAGGCCTCTGAGCGAAGGGGTAGAAGTTGGTGGTCATAAACGGGTAGTAACCGTACTTGAATGGCTGGTACCAGGAGAAAGTAGGGATCTCACCCAGACCGTTGGAAAGTCTTTCCATGTAGTAACGAGCCAAGAGCTGTTGGTAGAAGTAGTAGTATAGTTCACCACGTCTTTCCTTGAAGATGCCCAGTGCTACTTCGTCTCCGTGCTCCCAGAAAGGCAGAGAGGCGTGGAAATAGGTATAGTAAGCATTCCAGCCAATATCCTCAGTTAGGTACGAAATCTTGTACTCATTGTGACCGTAGGTGTGATAGTCGGAGTAGTTGGTGTAGTAGTAGTAGTATTCGCCCACCTCAGCAATGCCGTATTGTTCGAAATCTAAGTGGTCGAATGGCAGTCCACGCATTTTGCTGTAGTACATCTTGCTGAATGCACTGAAGTTGACGTAGTACTGAGGCCAGATCTCGTAGAAGGCAGGGAGAACTAAGTCTTTGGTGTCAATACGCTGAAGGACGGCAACGTAGAAAGCATACGCGAAGTATCCTTCATTGACGTGAACGCGAGCCCAGGCAGCGGTATTGTAGAAGGTGTCGAAGTCCTTGGCGTAGTAGAACAAGTCATATAGAGCTATGACTTCTTGTCTCATCTTGTCATCGAAGATCGAGAAGTGGCTGTACTTAGGGATGTATTCCGTGTCGTACAGCTTGAAGAACGCGTCAACGACTTCTTTATTCTGAAAAAACAAAAGGACAATGTGTAATTTGATGGTCAAGCAAGCGTAATAATTGTAAGAAATAATGTTCTAAATGAATTAAGTAAATTAGAAACTTCACAAACCTCGTACTGATTGACGTGAGCCTTGATGTCGTACTCTGAGCCAACTTTGTAGTAGCTTGCATGCTTGTTGACTTGACTGACGGCTTCGAAGAGCTCCAAGATTTTGTACTGTCTTTCCTTAGTTACAGGTTGAACTAAAACAAAGAGATCAAGATTTGTTAAACCTAATAATTTATTTTTAAAGTAAGCTTGATTGGATTAGACATAATTTTATTTTAATAACGGTGTGTCTAATGTGCAGTTATGTGTTCTACGATATTTTAAGTAGAATCTTTAGGCATACAATTATTATACCTGATGCAAAAAAATCGTTCTTACAAAATATACTTGTAACACAAAGTCGCTCCCAGTGCTGTTTGTGCTCTTGGATCTTCAACTACACAACGGATTTTATTTGGTTTTGAGCACTCAGTTGAGTACAATACGAGTACATAAGGGGTACTTTGACCCGTGCAAAGCCGGGGCGCTTAGCTAGTATCCATAAAAGTACTAATATCAAACGCAATAAAGATCTATCTTGAAACTTAGCAATGCACAAAAATTACAAGTGTTAAAAAGACATTAAGATGCACTTACTTGTTTCAGTCTTCACATGGTGATGGTACTTGAAGAAAGGAGGTTGATCAACGGACCCGGCCAAAGCCAGGGCCACCAGAGACGCCAGAACGACGACAGTCCTCATCTTGCTCTTCCTGGGAGACAACTGTGCCTGTTCAGTGGTCCCAGGTAATATTTATACTCAAATTTTATCATGCACCTTTGCAATCAGTCTCAACCCTGATCAAGGCGTGTGGGGTCTTTTAGACCGCAAGTAAACATTTTATTTATTTTTGCATGAACTTCTGGTTTTATCTACAGTCAAACGCATGTTTTAATCGTTTTTATAATCAAAACAAAACTTTATAACATTTTCACTGGTTCTTATATTATTATCATTTCGTTGAATCTTGCTTTATAAAAATCACGCATTATTAAAATAATCATAAATTTTGTCCAACTTACTGAAATATCTCAAATACAGACTTTTGCTTACATTAAAAATGTATTTTGAAACGTTTTACGGCCTCCTGGACTTATATTGAAGATCCAAATTGCTTAGCTTTCCTATCTTAATACAAAAAGGGGCATTATCCTTCTACCCATTTGTTACATAAATATCTGGTAACTCTGGGGTCGTATAAGCCCCCAAGTAGGTACATTTTGTGGCACTATACATTTTAGGGTTGACGCAATCGCAGTTTCCATGCTGCGTTATTTAAAGATGCTATTATTGACCTACCAAAGTTTGATTGTGAAGTGCTGAAATGACATTGCCGTTATCGCATATTTTAAATATCATTGCAATAATTATAGACCCAATTGAAAGTGGTGAGTGACCATAACTAGGTAACGAAGGTAACTAGAGAAATTGACACTGGGACTTCTATCGTATTTCCAGTCCTGAAAACATCGATTTGATATTTAAAATCAGATAAGTCAGATAATCAGTTTTAGTATTTGAATGAAAATCGGCCTAGTTTATTTGATTTACTTTTGCTAAAGACCTAAAGTGTACCTGAAATAATAAAATACCTTAAAATAGGAAATGGAACTAATGTAACAAACTTAATCAAATGTGAAGATAATAATATTATGTAGATATGGTACAAAAATTTAACACAGGAAATCTTATGAACTTTTATCTCTTCAAAAAGCTACTAATTTTCCGACCAAATAGGATGAGGTTCTCAATTCGACTATGATTTTTTTTTGTATGTATTTTAGGTATTTTACCGCAGAACTCCGTATAATGAAGCAATTTTTAGAAAAATACTGGATTGGATATTTTATGCTCCCGAGTTGGTCCCATTAAAAGTTATTTAAATTGGTTAAGTAGTATTAAAATCATTTGAAAACTGGGAATATATAAAAACCGATATACGTTGTGGAAAAACTAGGTACCTACTAGTCGTATTTCTTGAAATTATTACTGGGCATACCTAACTTAGTAATAATTAATTTTAAAGTTTTGCGTTGCGCAAATATAAACATCATAAATAATTGTTGACCAATAAAAAAAATAATAAGTATGGGCAATTAATGACAAACATTCATTCAGGTTTCATTTTTAAGTTCCGATTTGTTAAATAAGTCAGTAGTTTCTAACATATAATACCTATCGCTTCCCTTTCGGCCTGATCATCACTTACCATCAGGTGAGATACAGGTCAAGAGCTTCTTCGTTGAAAAAAAAAAACAAAAAACAGTGTTTAAAAAAGTAGAGTCATAGTACGTTTCAGCCAAATGACGTCCACTGCTGGACAAAAGCTCCCCCAAGGATTTCCGTAACGACCGGTCCTGCGCTGACCTTCACTCGTTGGTCCACCTAATGGGGGTCTGCATTGTAAATTTTTGCTAAAAATAAATGTCTGGGATATACCTACCTACTTTCTATTTCGTCTGTATTCTACGATCGATTAGTCACCTCGGAAGGTCTCTACTTTTTCACAGCCTTTAGTTAAGATAATTATTTCTGTTAGTTTTACAAGTGATTAAATAACTGCACTTATCTAATCTTATAAACTCATTTCTTGTTCTATGCTTTATTGTGCACATAATGAATATGGTTGGTTTTATTTTGACTTTAAAACTGGTTATTTTCCATGAGTAGGTAGGTACCTAGTGTTCCAGCATTTTATTGATAAGTAATAGGTACTTTGGCCGTAGTAACATTTTAGTCATCAGTGTTTTGGCTGTCTTTATGCATTATCACTTCAAGCAGCGCTATACCTATTATGATCGTATGTAAAAAATGCAAAACACGTACTACAAGAATATACCTACTTTATTTCTGCAAGGTAAATTATTATTTATTTTTCTAGTAGGCTTTTAAAAAGCTCTTTTACACGTCCCCGTATTACTTTAACCGTAGCATTGCTTTAAGACAATAATAGCAGCGATAATATTATTTTCACACATATTCTGTAAATAAAAATAGGTATCTTTATCTTTTATCTATTAAGGTAATTTTGTGAGCTTTTTATTTTATATTGGTAGTGTTCTATTAAAGTAGGTAGGTACTACTTTATTCATTTGGATTTAGACTGTGTGTGTGTGTCAAAAATAAAAGACGATAATTTTCAAAGACGAGTTCTTATTTTTCGTTCACGAAATACCTACTTACTTTTGAAACAACTTTATTGTGAAACTAGCGGCCGCCCGCGACTTCGTACGCGTGGATCCCGTTTTACCCCCTTCATCTATCTTACGCGGTTTAGATTTTTTCATACAAATGTTTTTTCCCGCTAACTCCCGTTCCCGTGGGAATTTTGTATAATGACCGGTCGGTAGCGGCCCACATCCAGTGCCTTCCTACCTATATGAGAAACTAAAGTTTATTTCATCAATGTGGTGAAAAAAGATGAATAAACATCGTTTTAGTTAAAAGTGACTGGAAGGAATACCATAACCAGGCTTTAAGTTTGTCTTTTGTACTCCAGACTATGCAATAAAGTTTTACATAAATAAATAAAAGACCGTTTTATTAGGGTTCCGTACCTCAAAAGGAAAAAACGGAACCCTTATAGGATCACTTTGTTGTCCGTCTGTCCGTCCGTCTGTCAAGACCCTTTTTCTCAGGAACGCGTGGAGGTATGAAGCTGAAATTTACTCAGGTCTACTGTCCCTTGAAGCTGGAAAAAAATGAAACTTCTAAGCCAACGCAATCAAAAGATACAGCCGTTTATGCCGCAAATTTTCGACACTTGCAAGGGAATCAAAACCTACAGGGTGCTTCCCGTGAACTCAGAATCTTGAAATTTGGTACGAAGCAACGTCTTATAGCATAGATAAAGGAAAAATTACGAAAACCATAAATTTTTAGTTACATCACATAATATATATTTTTTTAATAATTTTAAACTTACTACCCATTTCCTCATAAACGCATAGAGGTATTAAATTGAAATTCATACCAAATACTCAGGTCTATAATACCTTTAAGCTGTAACAAAATCAAACTTCTATTTCAACGCAATCAAAAGAAACAGCAATTTAAGCTGCATATTTTGAAACTCGCAAGTACTCGCAAGGGAATCAAAACCTAAAGGGTACTTCCAGTCGACCTAGAATCTTGAAATTTAGCATGAAGCAACGTTTTATAGCACACATAAAGGAAAAATTCCGAAAACCTTAAATTTTTAGTTACATTACAAAATATATATTTTTTAATAAATATAAACTTATTACTTTTTTCCTCATGAACGCGTAGAGCTATCAAGTTGAAATTCATATCAAATACTTAGATCTAATTGTCTTTAACCCGTGAAAAAAAAACATAGTTATGACTCGATTGTAGTAATGAACGAACTTTGTAAACCTTGCAGGTTTGTACGGAACCCTCGGTGCGCGAGTCCGACTCGCACTTGGCCGGTTTTTTTTAATAGGAAGGGAGTTATGCCCGTTTTCACGATCAATCCCTAATTTTTTTTAGTTTTTTTCAAAGGAAAACAAAATTCCTGATGTGTTACCATAGGGGTCACTTAAAAATTAGTGATTGATGGTGAAAACGGGCATTAGTGTGCTATTAAATCTTCTCCACACCTGGGCAGGCCTCCCACTAGGTGGACCAACGATCTGGTGAAGGTCGCGGGAAGTACCTGGATGCAAGCGGCGCAGGACCGGTCTTTGTGGAAATCCTTGGGGGAGGCCTTTGTCCAGCAGTGGACGTCTTTCGGCTGAAACGAACGAACGAACGAACGAAATCTTCTCCGATACTCCTACTACCTACACATACATTTTTATTATAATGTGGACTGGTATTTCCACTACGTACGGTCCTACACTGCATATATCCAGGCGCCTCTCCCGCCGCCTTATAAGAGATCGTCGGTCCACCTAGTGGGAAGCCGTACTACATTTCGTCTTCATTTGGTCCGTTGTCGCCACTCGTAAACTTTTCTACTCAACCAAAATCTAGGTAAGTACATATTATTTGTTTGTTTGACCAAATCTTACCTATCTGATCTTAGACCAAAACTGTTAGATTTATCGATCTTAAATTAGTACTCAAAATAAAAGTAAGTACGAGAACTTATATAACTATTCCGTCTTACCAAGAAACTTATTTCCTACACTGACCATATTGCATGGACAGTTGTAACTCGAAGAGTTACAACACTGATTTTCAATACACCTTTGGAGTTCATTTAAAACTAGCAGACCCGACGTACTTCGTACTGCCTATGTTCATCAGTAATTATGTAGGATTCTGATAGTGAAAGAATTTTCCAAATGGGTCCAGTAGTATCAAAGCCTATTGTCCTGAAGCAGTGGTAGGGTTAATACTGGGACGTGTAAAAGTGCTTTTTAAAGCCTACTTGCATAAATAAATGAGTTTTATAAAATTTTTCCTCTTTATAATATTAGTGTAGTCATCATTTCAGCCATAGGATATCCACTGCTGAACATTTTATTTTATTTATTTATTTATTATTTATTATTCATTATTGAGCAATTACATATTTGATCCAAATAGCGTCCTAAATCCTTTTTATATATGTTACTGTAAAAGCTCGAATTGCAGTAAATCCTAAGATATTCCAGTAAAATCTAAGATCTACCAATTCCTAATGGTAAATGTCCCAAAAGGTTTGCGATTCGAACTCTTACCACCATTTCGTTGGTAAATCTTAGGATTTACATTAATGGCACGGTAAATGTTGAAAAAC